GTATTGGAAGCCATGTGAGGTTATTAACTGACCAAGAGAGGAGGTGTAGATAGAGAAGAGAAGGGGTCCAAGGACAGAGCCTTGGGGGACCCCTACAGAAAGAGGAAGAGGAGGGGAGGAGTTAGAATTGTAGGTGACACTAAAGGAGCGCTTAGACAGGTAAGAGGAGAACCATGAGAGAGCAGAGTCTTGTAGGCCAAGCGAGTGGAGTTTTTTTAGGAGGAGCAGGTGGTCCACGGTGTCAAAAGCAGCAGAAAGGTCTAATAGCAAGAGTAAGGAGTAGTGGCCATTGTGTTTAGCTGTTAATAAGTCATTAGTGAGTTTTAGGAGGGCGGTTTCAGTGGAGTGTAGGGGGCGAAAGCCGGACTGTAAGGGATCGAGAAGGTTGTTATCAGCGAGGTGGCGGCTCAGGCGGCTGTAGATAAGACCCCATATCAGAGAAACAAGAAGCTGTTCCTACAGCTGAGGTTTAAAGGAGAACTCTGGGGGAAATGATTAACCCTGGCAGTGGGGCTATCACCACACTGCAAGGGTTAAGTGCTTATTTTGGTCTAGGGAGCAGAGCGGAAGAGAGGCTCCAGGGATGGGTCTAAAAGCAAGCTGGCTCCAAGGATTGGGCGAGTATAAACTTTATTTTCCTCCCTAGAACAAAACAAGCCCTTAACCCTTGCAGTGCGGGAGTAGCCCCACTGCAAGGGTTAAGAATATTCTTCCCTGGGAGTTCATTAAATTTAGGAGCCTAAAGTTAAATCTTAAAAATACATTCAATACCCGAACTATTAACAACAATCTATCTTATTTGTGTATCACTCGGCTGTATCATCTCTGTATTGGTGCTGACACTGTCCTTCCTTCTGGAGGGGGGCTACTTTTGTTCCCCATGGTCCTTGTGTGTGTGTTGTAAAGTAGCCACTGTTCTTTATAGAAGAACTCCGGACAAAACGTATTAACCCTTGCAGTGGGGCTACTGCTGCACTGTGCTCGTTTTGGTCTAGGGAGGAAAAACAAAAAGGTTTTACTCTGATCCCCAGAGCCGGCTAACTTTTAGACCTGTCCTTCCAGCCTCGTTACTCCTCCTCTGCAGCGGTCTAAGATCCCCGAGTCATCATGTTCTATAAACTGTGTATAGGACCGAGGAACATACCATCAATGGAGTATAGGAGAAGACAGGCTGGAGGGAGCGCCCTGGAGGCTGCACCTGTAAAACGCATTGCAACTACCGTATGCCTATTCCATTGACAAAATTCAACTTTTGCCAAATAGGATGGTGGTCCTTTGGTGTAGTCCCTGAGGGTCACACACTGCTCCAATTTCACCAGCACTCTGCCGATCTTCAGCCACTGTATGGCCAGCTATAAGGTCACCATACAATTTTTGTACAATCAATTTTAGATTTACCAAATCTATGTAATATGAGGACCTGTCTAATCTATCCAATCAGGCAGACCCTTGCACTACATGGTTGCGGGTAGATTTAAGGGAGATTGTAACATGTGGTAGGCTTAAGACATATTAAAAATGAATATGGAATTCAGGAGACAGTGGGATTGTTGGCTGCCTGGTTCCTGTGATAAGACATTGCTGACAAATACAATATCGAAGATACTATACTAATATTCATTGGTTTTGACACAGAGGTGTGGCCATCTCTCCATCACAACAATGGGAAAATAAGACTTCTCATCTCTCCTTGACAATGACTAATAGACTAAAAATACAGACCAAAATGCTGAGTCATGATAGGCCGCAAACCTAAAACAGATGTGTACCCGGTGTTCATGCTACAAACTAGAAGACTGCAAGACTTCTACCAGAGCCTCACGCTGACCCCAGAACACACCAACTTCTCTTAGTGAGGAATGAAATACATAAGGGGCCGCGGCTGCCACATTTTGAAAGACCACTCACGCTGTTTGCATGCTGTATGCATTATGGGGTGCGCTCCCATTTACTTCTAATGGGATCCCAATGAGCATACATGTGCAAAACAAACGCATCTGACTCTCAACACATTGAAAACAGAAAAAAAAAAATGCTTGCCTTTGTGAGGTCTTGTGGAAAAGAAAATGTCAGGTGCATGGTAAAATGACTCGGCCCATGGAATGAAAGTTAAGGCACCCAAAACTGAACAAAGCAGTAAAAATGGACCTTTAGAGCTGCAGGTCCCAGTGCGGTCACCCAGATCCTGACTTTACTACCTAAAGCATTACTTAAAGTGACATTACAGTCCCCCCGTAACCCCCACTGCTTTAAAGACTTACCTTAAATGATGCCTCTTGATCCAATCATCATCTTCTTTCCAGTAGTTTTCAGGAGTCCCTCCAGCGCTGGTGCTGTTCTCTGATCCAGCGTGGACTGCTGTGTCTTTTGTGTCCTACGGAGTCTGTGCGGGTGCATGCTGCCCAGCTGCGTGCAATGACTTACCTTGGGTCTCTCCTTCTCCCAGGCGAAGATCTCAACTGCGCATGAGCCGGTCTCATGAACCTTGACAGCCGCTCGAGAATCTTCAGATGGGAGCGAGCGGCAGAGACAGAAGTAACCTTTTTGGTAACGGTTTTATATTATTTATTTTTCTTTTTGCACATATCTACTGCTTGCTAGCAGTAGATATTTGCAAAAAAAAGGTTTAATTCTACTTTAAAGAAGAATTCCAGGCAAAATTTTTATTAACCCTTGCAGTGGTGCTACCCCCACATTGCAAGGGTTAACTGCTTGTTACTTAGACCGGTCCTTCCAGCCATTTTCCCCCTCCACTGCAGCGGCCTAAGATCCCTGAATTATCAGATCTATACAGGGTTTAGGATGCTACTATCTAGGGACATACTATCACTGCAGAGGAGGAGACAGGCAGGAGGGAGCGCCATCACAGAAGGCCGGCTCGGAGGATTAGGCGGGTATAACTGTTTTTAACTCCCTATACTACAACAAGCAGTTGACCCTTGCAGTGTGGGGGTAGCCCCACTGCAAGGGTTAATAAAAGTTAACCCTTGCAGTGTATTAAGTGCACTTATCTATTTTGCTCCCATTAACTGAGTTCATTGACATCCAGCACTGCAAGTCATCTCTCTCCTGGTTGCGCATGCACATTGCATCCCTATAGAAGTCTATAGGGCTCGTCCACCTTTGTAGTCCTGCCAGTAGACAAGCCTGCATGGCCATGAGAGAGAGAGGACTTGCAGCGCTGGATGGAGGTGTCTGATCTCAGTACGTATACATCTGTGGAGGAGCAGGGTGGGATCTGTGGAGGGGCAGGGCGGCGTCTATAAGGGGAAAAAAGTACACTGTCTGAAAGTGAACTTACTCTGTAAACACACATGCAGGACAGCGGTTCACATGTTGTTGTCTGCTTGCTTGGTCCAGGTTATTGATTCTCTAGGTAGTAAATGCAGAATCAATATGACGGGCCCAGGGTCTGGACCTCTAAGTGTTTGTCCTGGTGTTACCCACATTTACCACCAAACCTCCCTCTAGATCAGTGGTGGCGAACCTATGGCACGCGTGCCAGGGAAGGCACGCGGGGCCCTCTCTGCTGGTACGCGAGCCCAGGTTCAGGGACCACCAATGGAAATAGATCCGACCGTCCCAGATTGCCTCAGTACGCGATCCGGGCCAGTCACAATCAGGCAGATTAGACGACCGCTTCCTCCTCGCTAGGACCCTGCGAGCGGCCGTCTAATTTGCCTGTTTACAGGTCACGGCTGCCTGATTGTGACCGGCCCGACTGCAGAGGCGATCCGGGACGTTCTGATCCCCCGTGAGAGCCGA